TCCTTCCCCCAAGGGAAAGGGAACACAAAGAAAATCAGAAGCATAATCACGAACAAGAATAACAAAAAAAAAAAAAAAGGCAACACAACGAACAAATGGAAGCAACATCACCCACTCTCCGTGATGGGCCCCTCTAGGACCGAGGTACAAAAACACAGATGAGTACAATTATGGTCACTAAAATTATAAAAGGTAAATGGGCTTTAAAAAAACGTGCCGTGCTAACGTAGCGCCCGTGAATGGCGAGTCCCCAGGCTACACGAAACATGTTCCATGAACCCGTGCTGAGCGGATGGTCCTTCATCGTGGAAGCCACAAAAGAGTGACAGTTATTTGTAAAAAAATTGTACATTTGTGTTCTACGAAAGTGTTTTGTTACGCGTCCGATGGCTGCGTCGTACTCCTCCACCTCTTTATGACATAAATCTGCGAATTCCTGCGAATGTGGATCCAGCATGGAATGATAAAATGATGGCACGAAGGTCTTTGAGATGTCCCAATATTTTACAGGGTTACCAAACAACATGTGGTCAATACCAATGTTGTAAGGACCCTCAAAATCATGGATTCGTCCGGCAGAGTCGCAAATTCCCACATGACCGATGAATGGAAGAATCCAGGAAAGCAGCGGAATAGGCGTCCAAACAATACAGAAGGGATAATGTTCATTTAACGGGTCAATTTTCGGTGGAAGTGGCAGCGTGGTGGAACTCTGCATTTCTTCCATCGCCTTTCTCTTCAACATATAACGTCAATAATAACGATAAGAATAAATAAGATAAAGAATGAACAACAACAACAAAAAAGGAACAAAAAACACCTGGGGTGTTGCTCTATAAAAAGAAATATGCTAACACTAACTGAACTATGCGAAAACAAAACAAAACAAAAAAATGGTAGCCTTGACCACAGAGAAAATATCCAGAAAATAAAAGAAGAAAATAATTTCAAAAAAAAAAAAAATGAGAAATGGAGAGAGTAACGACGACTACCACTGGAAATTCCCATCTTTCAGAATGAAATATTTCAAAAGGCAATCACATCACCAGAGTCAGGCGTGATTTGCATACAAAGTCAATTAGATGAACCTCACACTATTTCCAATCCAGGGTTCTTCTTGCAACTTACCAGAAAAACAATCTCAGTAGGTCGCTTAATAATAATATAGGTAGAAATATGAAAATCACAAAATAAAAACAAAATACACTCGCTACCACCTTCTATCCTGACAGAACGAAAAAAATAAAAATAAAAATACACTCACTCACTCGCATAGAAAAATGAAAAAAAAAAAGAGAGGAATAGGTGGAAAGAGAAGAAAATTAAGAAGAACCATGAACAAAAACATAGACCTAGTCAAAGGTGTTTCTGCTAGTTTGGAAAAATATAATTGCGAACATTTACCCTATCAGTAAAAACATTAGCTACCTCTTCCCCACGGGTTCCATTCGCAGTACCAACTATCGTTAAAAGTGGCATAAGGTGTTCAAGTGCTCCACGTGGTTGGGCTTCATCAAAACCATTCATTTTTGAAACGTTAATCATTTTTTCCAACCTTTCTTCCGTTGACATGACATTTTCACCAGCGCAGAGAACTGAAGTTAATGCGTCACCAAATGTTTTTCCAGCGTTTTGCTTATTAAAATTTGAAAAATTATGCATTGTAGCCCCACTTCCCAAAAATAAAATACCACGAGAACGAAAGGATCGAAGTGCCTTACCTATTTTTATGTGTTTCTCAGGATCTCCACCTTTAACGACAGATACAGATACCACAGGAATCTTAGCTTCAGGAAACATAATCATAAGAGGAACAAATACACCATGATCAAAAGGACGTTTAACATCCACCTCCGCTGAAATTCCTTCCCCTTTCAATGCATCCACAATATCTTTCGCAAGATGAGGTTCACCTGGGGCTGGGTACTGAATCTCATAACTTTCTGAAGGAAATCCGTAATAATCATACAACATCTTTGGTTGTGTAGCCCCACCTACTCTTAGAGAAGGTGTTTCATAATGTGCTGAGATGACCGCAATGGTTTTTGGAAGTCCAAAATGACTTTCCAAATATTTCCGATTTTTTTTAAGTGCCTCCACTAGTGATAGATGTCCTGCATCACCGAGTAGTGGAAGCGGACCACCTCCATGGGTCACAAAAAGCGCCGGATACAGGACCATTTTTACTTTACCCTTGTTATTTCTGAAATATACCACCTTTTTTTTTTAGATTGAAAGAAAAACAGAATAAAAATAGGAACTTAAGAGGGAAACAAAATATTAATAGTGAAATAAGAAAAAAAAAAAGATATTAGGATAGTAAAAAAACGAAAAAAAAAAAAAGGAAAAGAACAACGATTCCCAATATGAGGAAATATAGATCAAATAATAAATCTTATGGGTGGAAGAAGAAAAAAAAAAAAGGTACAGCAGGGAGAGTAATACATATCATCATGTTTGGAAATACCTACTGTTACACCATATCCGTTTTCAACAAGTTCCTCATCATATAAAACCCACAGACTATATATATAGAGAAATATTTTATTCATCCTCACCTTCTTTTGGGTTTCACACGGTAATATAAAAGAAAGAAAGAATCTCTCTGAGAATCAAAATTATACCACATATTACATACATACAACAGCATTTGAAAACAAAATAAGACAAAGGTACTCATGGAATTTCTCAAGAGAAATTCCCAAACCTTTTTTTTTTCATGTTTTTTCTTTTCTTTTCTTTGAAAACAGCACATTCTTGTAACTAGTAGTTACTGTTACAGAAAATGAACCTTAGGGAAAGGAGTAGGTAGAGAGAAATCGTAATAGAGAAACAAACACATATATAGACAAATATATATATAAATAAATATATACTCAACCACCGAAATGAGAATGATTCCTCTACCCAATATCAACTAGTGGGAGTTCCGATCCTTTCCAGATCAAAAAAAAAAATTCTGCTGTTACCATGCAGGGTTTCCTAGCGTCATTCATCATAGTTCTTCCCCACGTTCACCCTCTATCCATTTTTTTTTTTCTGATATGTCCATATCTTTATTATTGGTCCACACCCCCTCTTTTCTCTTTCCATATTAGAAGGAAAAGGAATAAGAGATATCATCACTTAGCTCACATACAAGTATAAATCCGTACATATAAATATATATATGACAGAACAATTGAAGAGAAAAAAAAACACCCAAGGTCGTAAATACACATATACATATATATAGATATATACATATACATTATATATATATATATATAGACATATATAGATATACCTAAAAGGTCTACATGTTTTCCATCCACTTTTAATAAAATCGTTTGTCTTCGTTTTAAGTTGTTTCCTTTTTTCTTTTTTTTATTTTGTTCTCACTCTCTCGCTCTCACTCTCCCCATTTGGTAAAAAAAAAAATTTCGCCCATCTCATTCGGATCGATTTTTTTATTAATCTCAAAGTTTACTCTTTTTACTTTTATCACATAATGCATCAACCTTAGAACGCAATACAGCATACACAACAGGAAATGGAGGGTTCCCATCCACTTCTACTATTTTTCCTTTATAGTACTTCATGAGTGATGTCTTTTGCTCTCTGTAAATTTGCATCCGACGCTGGTGTTTTTCTTTAGTGTCATCAGATCGGATGAGTAAACGGTCCATAATTTCCTTTGGTGGTGGGTCACTTCTCAAGTTATACACACGACCTGTAACAGGATCAAGTCGTCGCAGTAAACAGCGTTCCTCCAGATTCTTAGCATCCACATTAATAAAAATTAATGCATCAATTTTAAATCCAGATGCTGCGAGAGACTTTGCCTGAGCGAGTGTACGTGGAAATCCATCAAGAAGGACCCCCTGAGCCTTGGCATCTGGTTGCAAGACTCGACGCACTATGATCTTCACAATCATCTCATCTGGAATGAGGTGTCCCTCACTCATTATGACTCCCACCGCTTTCCCTAACGGAGTCTGCCGCTCAACCTCATCGCGCAGCAAATTACCAGCGCTGATGTGCAGCAAACCAAAGTCCCGCACAAGGGCTTCACTCGCAGACCCCTTCCCACATCCAGGGGCACCAAAGAGTAATAGATTTAATGGCATGAATTGATCCAACCCGAGGAGTAAGGCTAGAGAACAAGAAACCCCTGGAAATATCAGAACACCCAATTAGAGTAACAGCTCCAAATAACACCTCCCGTGTGCCCGTGAGGAGAAGGATATAAAGAGAGGGAGAAAGAAAGATGAAGGGAAGATCTGATCTACTAATTACTACTGAAGTATAAAGGGAATATAGCAAAATAAAAAATAAAAAATAGAAAGAGAAATGAAGAAAACAAGAACAAAAAACAAATATAGATAAATACTCAAGTACAATAAAGTCCAACAGAAACTGTCACATATATTGAGAGAAAAGTAGAAAAAAAAAGATTAAGAGGGCAAAGAGCCAAAAAAAAAAAAATGGCAGCAACCCCTCTCTTACCCATCAGCTGGCAATTGGACCCGCATAGATGAGCTAATAGAAAAGGCATAATAAGTATTATTTCTTCTTTTTTTCTTTTTCTTCTGTTCTGTTTCTTCTCTTTTTTTTTTCCTTTCTTTTCTTTCCTTTTCTTCCCGTTCGTCTTCTTCTAAGTGATTGATTTTGCTTCCAATCTGCTTTCGCTCCAAGAAGTCATAAACGAATACAATAGTAATAACTTTTTTTTTAAAAAAAAAGCAATGAAAAGATAATATAAATATAGAAATATACATATACATATACAAGGGCATATATATATGTATATTTCTTTTTGACTTCATCATCCTATTTACGTCCCTTCTCTTACTTTCCCAATAACTTCGCATGGAGAGGGCGTAGGGGTTGGGAAGAAAAAAAAAAGAAAAACATCATAAATTTTTTTTTTCTTCTGTTCTCATTTGTCAATTTTTTTTTTTTTTTCCCACCCCTTTTCACTTCTCACATAAATGCCCCCCTAGATATCCATTGGAATAACACGTTCTGAAATACACACATTCCACGAGCAAAGAAAAAAAAAAAGGCACTTCCTAATTATTCCACACTCTAGCTGTAAAGGTCATCATCAGCATTGTCACCTGCAGCACCACTCTCACCTTCGGCTCTCGGCATGGGTCGGTCACCAAAGGCACGTGATTGCTGAAGGGAAGTAGCAAAAAGTTCATACTTTCGAATATCCGAGTCACTGACAGAGCGACGGGCTCCACGCATAGCTTCTTCCACATGTAGACGTGTAATCTCAGGAACAGGATCTATATCCTGATCATCATCAAGTGTACCATCCTTCTTTAACTTTTCCAGTTGAATTTCCTTTACAATAGATTCACGAATAGCCATTTTGCATGCTCGTTGACAAATTCCAGCAAGATCTGCACCTGAAAAACCATGAGTTGCAGCCGCAATTTGATCAATATCAATATCACTTGATAAAGGAGATTTACGAAAGTTAGCCTTGAGAATAGCCACACGTGATGCCTTATCTGGGAGAGGAATGTAAATCAATTGATCTAAACGACCAGGACGCATAATAGCAGGATCCAAAACATCTGGACGATTAGTAGCTCCGATGATAAACACATTTTTCTTCGTGTTCATACCATCCATTTCTGTAAGAATTTGGTTAATAACACGATCACTTGCACCTCCATCACCATGACCTCCTCCACGAGCTCTGGCAACAGAATCCAATTCATCAAAGAAAAGTACACATGGGGCAGCAGCACGAGCCTTATCAAAGACATCACGTACATTCGCTTCAGATTCACCAAACCACATAGTAAGTAATTCAGGTCCTTTTATAGAAATAAAATTGGCTTGACATTCAGTTGCAATAGCTTTAGCCAAAAGTGTTTTACCACATCCAGGTGGACCATAGAATAAAACACCCTTTGGTGGTGACATACCATACTTTTCAAATTTCCATGGAAATTCCACTGGATATTGTACAAGTTCTTGTAATTCCCTCTTAACATCCAAAAGTCCACCCACATCACTCCAAGTAACATGAGGTGTTTCCACATGAGTTTCACGAAGAGCAGATGGATTTGTTTTTGTCATAGCATCTCGGAAATGATCATTGGTTACTGCCATAGAATCCAAGACTTCAGCATCAATGGTATCATCATCCCAATCCACCACAGACATTTTTTCACGTACACATTGCATAGCAGCTTCTGTACAAAGTTGTGCAAGATCTGCACCAACATATCCATGACTTTCTTTCGCTATTTTCTCCACATCCACATCTGCATCAAGCTTCATATTTTTAGTATGAATGCGAAGAATTTCCAAGCGACCAATTTCATCTGGTACACCAATATCAATTTCACGATCAAAACGACCAAAACGACGAAGAGCAGGATCAATAGAGTTTGGTCGATTTGTAGCTGCCATAACAATTACTTGAGCCCGTGACCGTAATCCATCCATAAGCGTTAAAAGTTGAGATACAATACGTTTTTCTACCTCACCTTGTGCTTTTTCTCGTTTTGGTGCGATAGAATCAATTTCATCAATAAAAATAATAGATGGTGCATTTTTCTCTGCTTCTTCAAATGCTTTACGAAGATTTCCTTCTGATTCTCCTGCCATTTTACTCATAATTTCAGGTCCATTAATTAAGAAAAAAAAGGCTCCTGTTTCATTTGCCACAGCACGTGCAATAAGAGTTTTACCACTACCTGGTGGACCATACAAAAGAATACCTCGAGGGGGTTTAATACCAATATTTTTAAATAATTCTGGATGACGAATTGGAAGTTCAACCATTTCTCGAATTTGTACCAATTGTTTACGGCAACCACCAATATCATCATATCCAACATCATCCAATCGTTCTTCATCTTCGCGTCGAATAGGATCACCCTCGCAGTGAATAACGGTGTCTGGAGAGACAATACAATACTCACCAGGATCTACTTCAACAACCTTAAATTCCACAGATCGCATGGCACCACGGCAAATAAAATAATCACCCTTTTTAACAGGACGATATCCCTCCAAGAAATAGGGCTTAAGAAAGGTTTCAAAAAGATCACCGGTGAGATTTTGTACCGTATCATCAATAGGAAGAATGTGAACACGGTTACCGTATGGTACATTTTTACAACTGCTGACATGAATAGTATCACCAAGATGAATTCTGATATTGCGTCGAGATACCTTGTTAATTTTAATTACACCTTCTGCACAATCATCCGATTCCATGGCAATACAAATAGTGGAGCGATGTTTTTTACCCTTCAGTAAAACAGTATCTCCACGAAAAATATTAAGTTCTTCCATACGTTTTGGGTTCATCAACACAAGACTGTTGTCATCATTTATTATATCATCGGCAACCAGCTTGTTCGGCTTCAGCTGCTTTTGCTGCGGTGCAGGAGCTGACATTGTTTTTCTCTTTTTTTTTTTCACTTTATTTAGCCTTTATTGTATGCTTTCTTTTCTTTATAGTAAAATAGTAAAAAAATAAAAGGAAGAATAACAACAGAAACACTTACCAAAAAGAAAAACCTCATAGAGAATAAGCACAGTAAATATTATTATTATATATATATATATATATAGATAGATAGGTAAAGAGAACATGAATCGTTGCATCCAGTGAATACTTCTTCTTATGTCTCATAATTCGTTCATTAGACAATAACTCTGTGTATGTACATATTCATATACACAAACAAAAGTAAAAAAAAAATTTGGCACATGGTTCTTCTCACAACAAGGAAAATCACCATCAAAAATACAGAGTTCATGCATTTCACTCCACCTTTATATAAAACAAAGGGAACATATAGGTACATTCGAATTACAAATGTACCATACATATATAATATGTATATAGATATATAGATATATATATATACTGTTAACTACACATTCACTTTTACATTTCCCAGGACTTTGAGAAATACTGATTTCTTTCTTTTTTTTTTTCCGTCTTTTAATTAAAAACAGATTGAAACGTATAATAAGTACCTCCCACCCAAATAAATATGGCAAATAGGATATATACGTACCATCTACATTCTGTGATGGTGTTAGGCATTGTAAAAATTATTTTCATATACTTAGAAAAGGTGAGATTTTCACGATCTTCCTCTTCTACTCGTTCTGTTAGAATGGCGAGGAAAGCAGGAATAGTTACCATAAGATGTACTCCAGTAAAAGCTCCAAGGAAACCTGCAAAGATATTAATTGTATCAGCTCCAATAGAACTAGCAAGGGCACCAAAGAAAGCATTAAGTACAATACGAACAATATAAGCTTTTTCTCTTGACTTTTGCATACTTATACCTAAAGCTCTATCAACCAATTGAATTGCCGGTACATATTGAATAGGGTAACTGAATATAAGACTAAGTCCTAATAACACCTGAAGAACATTTTTAGATATTCCTGATGGAAGTGCAAGCACTACAGAAGTTCTTAGTGCTTCTCCAAACGCCAAATAACCAAGAAGTCCGAAAATTAAATATAGAACCACTATAGCGGCATGTGTATATTTTACTAGTTTACCAAATTTAGGACGATCTTCAACAGACATACTATTTTCCACAGGTAATACAACACCTATACCTTCAAGGGAAAACATATGTCCAGAAATAAATAAAAGAATTCGCATCGAAGGAATAGAAAAAAAAACCCCTGCTGCTATTCCATTTGTTTTAAGAGAATCAATTTCTTCTCCAAGAGCTCCTGCTAAAACAATGGCAACAAATACTGCAGCTATCATAGATGCATATGCTAATACACCCATTCGATGTGTAAAAAAGGTCATAGGGGTTACCAGGAGAACACTAAGAAAAACAAAAGCTTGATACATATTCGCTACATTAAATAATGCAGCAAACATTGAAGAAGCGTATTGTATATATACCACACAGAAACCGAACTGAGTAAACATAAGAGAAAATTTAGTAAAGTGCATTAAAGAACGTCCAAGTACATGTTCAACAACAGCTGGATAGGTTCGTATATCATTTCGATCAATCCTTTGTTTTGAATGAAGAAGGGCTAAAGCACAATCAATTATCATTACCCCTAAAATTAAAAATATAATAATACCAATTCCGTAACCTGATTCTTGATAATACGTTGGAAGTAAGAAAACTCCTGCTCCTACATTTCCTTTAAAAATATGAAATACTGCTCTTCTCAAGGTATTATGAGGTTCGGACCTTTGGGCCATAGATGCGGCACTACGGAAGGAACTCTCTAGTACATCAGTTAAATGTTCTCCCAAGGAATGAATATCCATATCTTCATTCATTTCCCCACCACCTTCTTCATCATATTCATTATTACCATCATCATTATGTGCAACAGCTAGACTATCACTATTATTATTATTATCACCTACATTTTTCTTATCAAGAAAATTGTAAGAGTGTATTTCTTTTTCATCTTGGGCATTAGTATTGGTATTATAATTGGTTATCGTATGCTGTTTCATATAACTGAATGATGATGTATGTGTTAATGGTTCTACAATAGTACCCTCCCATCGATCCAATCCATGCATATTTGAAGGAGATGTTAATTCTCTACTGCCATGTGAAAATGCAGGAGAACGTCGTCCACCATGTTGTCGAGAACGTGTACTATGGTGTACATTTCCTGCTGGTGTTGTACTTCCACTCACTGACAAGTTTTGATCGTGTACACTAACCCTACAAGACTCACTCTGAAGTCTATTTAAATCACCAATACTTGTACTGTGAGATACACCGGACCCCGCACCAGCCGTTATTTCATCTGGAGAAAGCGCAGAATATGTTGTGGATCCCTGTGGTAGAGGACTCCCAGACTCTCGTGATGTCATTTCTAACGGCTTTTTTTTTTTTTTTTGACAGCTGTGAAAACAAATTTAATAATAAAAATAAAGAATAAGAAAGAAAAAAAAAGAAACAGTAATATTTAGGCTATAATAACAATAATAAGAAAAATAAAAATAAAACTGAGACTTAGATAAAAAATCAATATGTCAAGAAAAGAAGATGGATTAATAGAAAAAAAAGGCAATAAGAATAATAGATTCAAGAGTATTCTTCTTCTTTTTTTTATATTCGTATATATTTTTATACTCTTTGCCTTTGTTTGAATTTTACATTTTTTTTTCTTTTTTTTCTTAAAAATACATCACGCTGTGTGATAACAACTGGATTTTTCTTTTTTTTTTTTCTTCATCCGTTAAACATTTTTAACCTACATCACTCTTGCCTTTGAAATTAAAGCTGGTAAAGAAAGCTTTAAGGCTTCATAACTGTTTGGATGTTGTAAAATCACCACTCGACAGGCCAAATCATTTCCAATTCCCCACAGTGCTCTATTACCTTGCAATAGAATTGTATCCATCTCTTGATATTTTAACATAATATCAATAACAAGACCAGTGAGAATGGCAATAATATGACTTCCACCAGAAGCTACAAGACCACCATCGACTAAACAAAGTTCAATGGCATTCTTATGTTGGGCTAATTCCCCTACAAAATGCATAAGAGCTTCCATAAGAAATACCTGATCTTGTTTATGTTCTGCTAAATAGGCAACATGTTCAATCATATGCAGTTGCACAAGAGTTTCAGCATTTTGTGGATTGGCGCAGATAAGTGTAGTGAAGAAACTTAATCCAAATTTTTGCAGAACATTCGTATGTTTAAATCGTTGCATAGCGGCATGAACAAGTATAAGTGCACGGTGTCCAAGTGGACCGGCAAAACATTCCGTTGCTTCTGTATCTGTAGAAATATTATGAAGAAGAACAGTGGCATACTCCGCAATTTCTTCATTTTCAGAAAACTGTTCAATAGCATCCAAAATAATTTCCACCATATTTTCCTCTGAGAGAAGTTGTCGTGAGGCTCCTTCTACAAAGGTGAGATTCCATAAGGCACGTATACACTTACACACCATATCTTCATCTTCTTTAAATGTCTTTAGGGTAAGAAGAATACAATGTACACCTCCAGAGGAGAGAACACTTTCTAAAAGATTAGGTTGACATGTAAGTTCACAGAGTTTCTCTGCTGTTGCTCTTGTAATAGGACGAGATGTAAAATTGGCCAAAATCAATATAACGCGAGGAACATTATTATCCACATACCATGTACTCCAAACATCTTCAAAAGAGAGTTCTTGTCGAATACGTCCTAATTGTTTATTCGCAAAAAGATGTTTGACAATGGAAACAATAGACAAAACACGACTTATAACACCTCCTGTTTCCTGACGTAATTGAGATTGCATACCAATTAATTGACCACAATCATTAAAAGATGGACAACCCGCAGTTAAAACATTTCCACTTGCTTTAAGATAAAATACATCATCACGACAACGCATTACTTCTTCAAAACGTTTCACCTCAACTAATGAGGAAGTCTCTTCACTTTCACCACCATCATTTCCTTCTGTTACTTTTCCACCACTACGATCTACTATAGGATGTTGAACTACCAAGATAGTATCACCTTCTCTTACAGGAGCCCATTCACTCTTAATAAGAGGAAGTTTAACAGGTGTAACGTTAAAAATACCATACTGTTCACAAGCCACAATGCAGTAATCCATATAATCTGGATATGTAGCTGCAAAGAATAAATTTTGAGGTAACAGTTTTACCTCAACTGTTTTCTTATTAGATCCCTCAAAAAAGACAGCGGTGAGATCAGCAGCTACTTCTGCAGACTTCACAACATGAATAGAGGTAAGCAAAATTCCAGGTGATATAAGTGTTGCTGTGCCGCAACCTTTAATTTGACACACCGCTGGAATATTGGCTCGATTACTGCTAGTCAAAGATGCCTTCATTCTTTTTTTTTTGTCTCCTTTTATTTACATGTGAATAAAGGAAATAATAGCACAACCAAACAAGAAAAAAAAAAGAAATAAAGATAAGAATATAACAACCACAGAATTCAACAAAGAAAGATTGAATGAATGAATGAGTTCACATCCATGATGATGATGACATCGTACAGTTCAAAAAAAAAAAAGAAATAAACACACGATAACTCGACAACGAAAAAAAAATATAAATATAGACGATATAGATAATAATAATAATAAATAATAAAAAAAAATAGTAAACACAAAACTAACTTTCCCTGGTTATTTTAAATGGTGAGAGGAGAATATTTTTCAGAGAGAGGAGTTTCCTCAAACATTGTTAGTCATTCATTTTTCTTTTTTTTTTTCTTTTTCCCGCATTCCTTCACACGCTTCTTGTAAACTAAGTAAGGAGACCTTTCTTCACGGATGATCCCCTGTTATTCTTTACCAGTTTATCTGTTCCCTGTTTTCGTCGGTCCTCGAGTTCCCCAAAAGTGTAGAATCGTCTACAACTGAAACAGAAAGCCGCCTTTTCATCTGGTGGACCTGTTAGTGCCCCACTGCAAGAAGCGAGCTGCACTAAACAATGTGGACAACTACCAAATACATTTTCTGCAGTTAGAGAAGCATTTGTATGAAAATTTTTCAGTTCCGCTTCAAGTCGAAGATTATCTCGTACAAGATCTATATTCGTCTTTCCCTGTAAAGAATGCTTTGCATCATCTTTCATCTCATCCTTATCGGGATAAAAATCTTCTTCAGAAAATTTCCCAATCACCAGTGATCCTCTTATGGCTGGGGAAAAAGAACCTTTGGGTAAATTATGTAATGATGTCATTGTCCTACTTGATTTCTCACGATTATTATTATTATTATTATTATTATTATTATTATTATTAGTAGTAGTAGTAGTAGTAGTAGTAGTAGTTCCTCCAGCAGCAAGAGCACTGGGAGAAGGAACCCCATGTGTTAAAGACTTTTGCATTTTATCCATACCCCGTGTTATTTCAAGTTTTGCTTCCTTAAGTTGTACTTCTAATGATTCTCTTTCTTTTTGTTCACGATATAATTTAGATCGAACATTGGAAAGTTCCTGCTGTAATGATACTAACGCTTGATCTTTCTGTTGAGCAATAGGATCAGGTTTTATGGCTGATTTACCACGTTCACTCTTAAGTTCTCGTTGAAGATGTTGAATTTGATACTTTGCATTTACCAATTCTTTTTGTGTCCCAACTAATTGTTCTTCTAGTTGAATTAGACGATCACGAGATTTTTCAAAATCCACTTGTGAAAGAGAAAAACGATTTAAAAGCGCATCTTTTTCTTTAAGTTGTACACGAAGAGTTTCATTTTCATCCTGTAATTTAGCATATGCTCGTTTTTGAGATTCCATTTGTGCTCTTGAGGTAGCCATATTATTAAGTATATGGGATATTGTAAATAAAGATTTGGTAAGATTTTTAGAGTCCCGAACAGGAGAGAGTTCAGCATCCGTAAATACCAGAGATTCACCTCCTTCACTTAATAAATATGTGGATTGTTGCTTAGCCGTATAAAGTAAGAGACGTAGTGCCTTCTGTAGATCATCAGAGAAGGCTATAGTTTCACTTTTTGCACGAATGCGATTTTTAAGAATATATTCATCAAAATTTCGTACTACAAAATCATGAGGAACATTATCTACAAGTTTAACACCATCACGCATTTTTGTCCAAATATTACCTTCAATTAAACCATTTACTATGTGTTGAACAACTTTAAATTCCCATTTAATCCAGTATCTTCTTCGAATTAAATTTTCTGCAGCATCCGAAAATGATCCTACTGCTCGATTTATCACTTGTTGCAAACGAGAACTTGTCAAGATATTTCTTCGCTCATTATTTAATGCGGTAATTACGGAGTGTTGTCTTGCAGAAAGAGGACCATTAAGATCACGAAGAAGACGTTTTCCAGGATCAAATCCATCATTTTTTAAAATAGCATTAGCTATTTCAAGTGAAAAATGTTTTCGAATACCTCCTTCTTTGTCTTTATTTGAATACGTCGTTTCCACTACTTCTTTTTCAGAGAAAGAAGGTTCATCTGTTTCAGATAAGGGTTCTACAAGTGGTTCATGAGTAAAAGGTGAAATAAGTTGCTGAAATCCATATGATTCCATTTGAAGTTTACCACTTGTCTCAGAAACAATATTAACAGGTATACCATTATTACTACCAATAGTATTTGTAGTGGTTTTAGAATCTATTTCTGAAGAGCCAATAGTAGTATTGACTTGGGTTACGTCATTCATATTATTAGAATCAAACCTGTTTTCTGTTTTGGATATCATTTCTGATTTATCTTTTAACACGTTTTTATATTCATCAACATTATTCCCTGATGTTGGAGATTCTACCTTTCCAATGATCTCATTATTCTCCGGAGACTTTGATACAGCAGAGAGAGGAGTAAAAACATCAATCTCACGATCAGAAGGCTGCGTATATTCTTCTTTTGTCATATCAGGTTCAGGACCATATTTTTTTACTAACTGTCGAATAACAGCTTCTTCTTTTCCCTTAAATTTTTGTAAAGTAGCATCCACTGTTCTCACTTTAGCAGGTTCATACTTTTCGTATATAGCCATTAATCGACTCCGGTAATCCTTCACAGATGTTCTCTCGGATGTATTATCCATTGTTGTTGTAGACCCAACAGGAGAAGAAACTTCACGGGAGTTTGAGATATTACCAGATTGAGGTGGTGTTTCTTTATTTAAAACAGGTGGTTCAGGACCATACTTTTTTACCAATTGTCGAATAACAGCCTCTTCTTTGCCTTGAAACTTTCGTAGAGTGGCCTCCACTGTGTTCACCTTTGCAGGTTCATACTTTTGATAGATGGCTACTAAACGTTCATTATAACTTGCATTTGCATTGACTCCACGAGGTGATGTTACTGTCTCTTGAACTCTTTCCTCTGGGATTATATCAGTTGTTACGGACATGGATGGGTTATCTGTTGTACTTTCAGGTTCAGGACCATATTTTTTTACTAACTGTCGAATAACAGCTTCTTCTTTTCCTTTAAATTTTTGTAATGTAGCCTCCACTGTTCTCACTTTAGCAGGTTCATACTTTTCGTATATAGCCACTAGTCGACTCCGGTAATCCTTCACAGATGTTCTCTCGGATGTATTATCCATTGTTGTTGGAGACCCGAGAGGTGATTGAGGCATTTCCTCTTCCTTCTCTTCCTTCTTCTTATTTTCTTCTTTTCTCTCCACCTGCAGGGCGTTATTATTCCCTGCATTCTTATTATTCTCTACGGTGTGTGGGCGAAGAACGACGACGGCGCCGTTGGCCGGAAGTCCCACAGACGCGGGGGTCTCCGCCGGGCCGAACACTCGCGCTGTTGGCCGCACACGTTTGCCGTCGACTTCCGCCGCGTGCGGACGAAAAGCCGCGAGGGACGTGCCGGTCGCCTCAACGGCCGCGAGAATTTGGGCGAAGGGCGTGTCGGCGGGAACATCCACAGGGACGCGGCCGGAGAGCGGACCACCAATAAACACAATACGCATCGTATGTGTATATTATATATATATATATATAGAGAGAGAGAGAGAGAAAGGAGTAACGGCTAAGGAGCCTTGAATATGTCTATTTTTTTATTTTTGGAGTTGTGCTTCTTTTCTTCTTCGCTTGTGATCCCTCAGCTTCCTGAACGATAGCTTTGTGTGTGTGTGCATGTGGCAGGGGAAGAGAGAAAGTGAGCAAATACGATAAAACATTCACAATAACAATAATAATAATGAAACAGTTCCATCCTTCAAAGAGGGATGGTTTTACCACACGGGAAAGGTGATAGTGTTTATGGTAGAAAAAAAAAAAGAACTGATGCTCAGGAAAAATGAAGTACTTAAAAAAAAACAAGCAATTACTTCAAAGATTCGAATGAAAAAAAAAAAAAAAAAAACGAATGAAAAAAAAAAAAAAAAAAACCGTAAATATTTTTTGCTAATGTGATTTCCCTTTTAAGCGTTAGTTTGGGTAGAACATTTCACCAAAATAAAAAAAAACGCTCTTACCCATATTATTACCAAAGAGTTCTCATCCGCATTTGAGAACCATTACAACTATTACTCATTCTAATTATGTATACTTGAGAACCAAAGTCAATCACTCTTCAATCACACACATATACTCGCCTCAACCGGTTTATGGCAGTGAAACCCATCATTAATAAGAAGCAATATGAAATCTATTCTATATTATTTACTCAACTAGATGAAGTAAAAAAAAAAAACCTTCACGCATGAACATCAAAAGGAAGGTTCAGGATTAGGGTAGAGAACAGAACTAGTGCGGCGAATCTCTTTTGAGGCAGCTGCTATTCTATTAAGTAACTCTCCTTCCCTTCTCATGAATGCATCTCGTTTAATCAATGAATAGGGTGTATCACCCATTCCCATCTTTTCACATTCCCTCATCCCATCTATTCTATTGTAATGATGATTATACTGTTCAAATCCCCATTCGCCGCGACGGCACGCAACTGCCTGACTCACAATACGCTGAAAAGATGTGGCTTCATCACATGATAAAAGGGTGCGCTGTAAATGTTCCGCACACACTAATTCTACAATAGCCACACGAATATCCAGAAAGAGAGACATTTCAACTTCTAACGAAAACAAAAAATAAAAAATAAAAACAAAAATAATATATATATATATATATATATATATATATATTTGTTCTATGTTTTTGTATACTTTTTCTCTGTCTTAGATGACACCCTTCTAATAGATGAAAAATAATCTAAATCAAGTGTAAAGAAAAAACGAAAGAGAGAGAGAGAGAGAACAAAAAAATGGAAAATAATAATAAGGAAAAAAGGGAAACCAACAAAAAAACACAGTGAGAAAAATCCAACTTAATACCGAAAAAAATTCAAACAAACATCCTACATTAGTAGGTACTACATTGGCAAGTATACGGAAAGAAAGAGGAAAAAAAAAACAAAGCTGAGTAATGTTTCTTTCTTTTTTCTTTCACACCATTTATATCATTGTTCAACGTACTTTCCCTTTCCTTCTGTTTTTTTTTTTTTTTTTTTTATGACCCTGTGTGTTACTTTTTTGTTCCTCACGCCATTTCACTTCTTCTCGCTGCATATTCAACGCTAAAGAGATAGAAAGGGTATAAGAGACTCACAGAAAGATAGAAAGAAAGAAAATAAAAGTATATGAAGAAACAGCGGCAAATCGACTGTACTCTTCATACCCAACGTGTTTCCTGTGATCCAGGATTGTTTAAATGTACAATCCTGGATGAGTTTTACCCCTCTTACCAGAGAGGGGATTAAGAGGACTACACAAAGGAAGAAAAAAAAAAAAAAAGGTGAAGAAGAAAAAGGAAGGTGAGACAAGAAGGTAAATATGGATTTTTCCTTTCCGTAAAAAAAACATAAAAAACTTCTTTCTCTCTTTACCTTTTTCTTTTTTTTTGCCATTCTGCATCCATAACTCACAATGTCCAAATCGGTAAAATAAAAGACATTACAAGTACATAAACAGATACAGAATTATTTCACATGCAGAACATCTGCCATTCCACAGACATGCAGTATTATTATTATTATTAGTATTTGCACCTTTCTTCAAGTACTTTCCTTCTTAAATACTTCACCCACACGTCAATTTCCACTGTAATGTCAGTAAATCAAAAAAAAAAAAAACACGGTTAGAAATAAAAAAAAAAGATTTATTTCTCCTGTACGTACCTTAAAAAAAAAAAAACTTCATTTTTCTACTCCCCTTCACTGGTTATTTGGTTGCCTCTCGAACAATATCCTCACGAAGACGCCGTGCCAATTCAAGTGTCATTTGCTTTTCACCATCTGGAAGAGCATCTGACTTGTCATTTGCTTTACCACCTTTAGAAGCGTACTCCTGTAACTCCTTTTCTCGGCTTGCTTTTTTCTGCATTAATATTTTCTCTCGCTGCTCACGCATATATCGTGCTCGTGCCTCCATCTCCTCTAATGTAGGAGGTGGTGGAGTTGAAGAGGTCTGTACGGGTTCCGGCTTCACTGGGGTAACGGTATTTGCTACAGTCTCCTTGAGTTCCTTGAAAGAAGGTTGAATAGATGGAAGTGGTTTAAATCCAAATCCCTTACCTGGGGCTGAACGCAGAGGTGCAACACTCTTCTGAGCTGTAGAAGCCGGTGGGGCTCCTCCTGCTCCTCCTGCTGTTGCTGTAGTAGTAGTATTATTCTTTGGTAGTACAGATTGTTCATTATGCACTGCTGTTGGTTTTGAAGGTGTTGCCTGTTTCGATGGTGATTTACTTGGAGATGGACTACCAGATGATGTTGGTGGAACTTCCTGCGTTGCGGTAATGTGTCGAACGAGAGTTTCCTGTCGTACTTCAAGTGCACGTGCTTCCAATTTTTCAATCACATGTTCTCGTTCCTCATTTAATGCATTTAACTTTTCATTCTTTGATTGCTCTGCCACTGCAGTTCCCACCTGTGTGGCCTCCTTTGCCGCCTCTTCCTGAACTATTTGACCAGCCCGACGAATACGTTCTTCCTCTGCCGCAATAGATAAGGCGAGGGCTTCTTGTATTTGAACATCCTCTAATTCCATCTCTTTACGTGTATTGGCCTCAGCCTGAAGAGAGGCCTCAATGGCTAACTTTATCGCCGTCTCCTCATCTAATGTGGATTCATCAATGAGAGAGCCTTCTTCACCTTTAGCCTGTTGCTCCAAGGCTCGAGAGGCGAGAATATCAAGTTGAATATTTCGTTTTACCATCATCTTATGAAAAGAGCGGAAATCATCCACGTAGAAAATGTAATTGAGAAACTGCTCCGCACTATCCTTTTCATTGGATGCTCCTTCAACAGAGTGATGTACGGCGTCAATCACACTTTCTAAACTGACGCCTATATCTTGAACGAATGATGTAAGAAGTTCATCAATAAGTTTACGGAATGCGAAATGCACTTCCGTCTGCTCCACTTTCATTTCAGTATCATCCGTAAAGAGCCAACAATTGTCATCCACAAAGTTGTCAACAGGTGTACGCCAGAGTGGACTTCGGGTAAACTGCACAACAGACTCTGTGATCCAGCCGTCTTCTGACATTCTTTTATTAGAAAGTAAACCAGAAGTTTATTTGTATTACTTCTTTTTTTCCTTTTTCTTTTCTTTTTTTCTTTGTAGTATTCTTCTCTCAAGTGTTTTTTTTTTTTTTTTTTACTTTCCTTTTTGATTTGATGTTGCTGCTAATGTTGTTCTTGTTGTATTTTATTTTTTTTTTGATTTCGCTAGTATAAATTCTCTATTATTTTTTGTATAGAAAAAGGAATAAAAAGAAAAAAATTTTTTTCACCGTCCATATATGTTTGCATTATAACAAACACTTACACACACACATACACAGAAAAAGAGAAAGAGATAGAAAGAGAGAACAATTGCATTTATTCCTTTTCTTTTTTTCTTCTTGAGTGTTCTTCTGCACTACACAAACACACACACACACAATTACACGTCTGTGAGACAACTTATCAACTTCCGTACACCAACCTATTCATCAGCACGGCGAAGACCACAATCTACACATATCTCCGCCTCCTCAAGGTTTGTGGCCTCGCAGTTTCCACACATCCAAGATGGAATATCACCACTCCACTCTCCAGCGTCAAAACCCTCAATATCATCCTCAACATCGGAAATATCATCATCATCATGATGAATATCCTCACTGTTAATATTAAATTCATTGTTTAAACTTTCTTCCTCATGTTTAATTTTGAACTCCTCATCATTGTAGGCAGAATTTCCATTGGTGAGAGTACAACTCTCCATAAATTCTGACGTTGACCTCGTTCTTGACGATGAGATACCAAGATCATTATCATTATTATTAACCAATCCTACATAACCCTCGTTATGATCACTTAAAACAGTAGTTTTTCTCGATTCCGTTTGACTAGCAATCGTAGATGACTCTTTCGCCATATTATTGTATAGCAAAGAAGATGCAGCAACAGCAGAAGCAGTAGCAATAGTAGTAGTTGAAGAAGAAGAAGAGAGAACTTTATTCGTCAAAGCAAACGTATCATCTTTAGTATTACTTCCAGATACCACAGTACTTTCTGTTACGGTGAGAGGTGCTGTGAAAGTCTCCAGTGATATCGCCGACCCACACATATTGATTACTTGTGCCAAATCACTACCGCAGTGTTCACATCGCTCCTCTACGGTTAGAGATGTTAATCGAAAACATGTAGGACAAGTGGTATGTGTTTGTAAACCAACAAGAACACGTTTACTTTCACATTCCATACAAGTAGCGGCATTATATAAATTAGTCAAACCACAACGGCGACACTTCCACCTACTAGGCACACAAACACTACGGGATGTGCGATCCGAGTTACAACGTGGACATTGTGTACGCACAGGGAGATCTCCACCAGAGTAAACAGCGGTATTGCAGACATCACAAATCCACGTCACTTCATCCATATTATATACACGTGCCTCACCACAACTAGTGCAGCGACGTAAATGTTTTTCATTTCCATGAGATCCACAGGCTTTACAGTTCCAACTATCAGAGGAGAGTCGTGCACGACAGCGAAAACAACTTTTTCGAGATGGATGATTATCTGCACAACAATTCTGGCAAGCAATTAGATCTATAGTGGGTTTTACGGATCCACAAGATCGACATCGTTTATCACACGCATGTAAACATCGCACTCCACATTTTTCACACTTCCAATGATGTGGATGAGCAGAACCACATCTCGTACAGAAAAAGGCGTCATTATGATTTTTATTTCTGCATAAAAGACAACGCCAAGGCTTTTCAGGTGGAGCCGCACTACAACCAATACATTTACCTCGTTCATCACGATTAGTACTACAACAGGTGGGGCAAAGCCAATAACCAAAAGGAACCTCACGTGGTACACCACAACAGGAAGTAATCATAACATTTATCATATTTCTACAATATGGACAACGCCAGTCACCCGTATTACATAATGATGAAGAAGAAGAAGAAATAATAGGGTTCAAGGTATTTACTACAACTTCACTAGTTTTATGTGAATTTCCCTGTAGTGATTCTTTTTCTTTTTGACCTTTCTGAACTTCTTCCTTATGATCTTGTTGTCGAGGTTTTTGGCATTTTTTACAAATAATGTCTGATATATCTTCATTGCAATGAGAACATGCACTGCAAGTCCAAGTAGTACTACTGCTATTAAGCTTAGAATGATTAGATGGAGTTTCTTCACTTTTTGAATCTACTAATGTCTTTGGCTTAAGGCAAATATCACAAAATGCAACATTACGTCGATGTAAAACTTGACATTCCATACACCACCAGGAACCATCATCTGAAACTTCTTGTTTTTTTTCTTTTACTTGTGTTGTTGTTGTTGTTGTTGTTGTTGATGATGATGAAGTTGTATTCATATTTTCTTTATTTTGCTCTCGTTGCTTTAGATCTTCTTCTTCTTGTTGTTGTTGCTGCTGTTGCTGTTGCTCTTGCTGGTTGTTCTGGTCCTGTCCTACTTCTTTTAAAACATTATTAACAACATTATTTTCTTTCATTTTGGCCTTTTCCACAACATCCTCTGCGTTGGCCACTGTTGATATTGACTCTGTACTCTCTGTAATAGTAACACCAGACTTCTCTTGTAGTTTCTTCACACTTCGCATCATTCCAAGAGGTGTCATGCAGACAAAACACATCTCCCACTGTACATCATTGCGTTGATGACAAGTTGAACAAAGAACAGTAGAATCAGAGACAAGTCGTTGTCGTGAGGAACGACAGTTACGACATTCTGTATAAAAGATAGAGTTTTTATCTTCTTTGCATTCAGAACATGTCCAAACGTGTGGTCTAGCTTCATAACATGTTGCACATTGTGTAGATCCACGAGAATTAACGTGATTACATGAAGGACAATACCACTCACGTAAACCACTAAAGTAAACTCCACAATTTCCACAATAAAATTTTCGTCTATTATTAGAGTTAGTTTGATCACAACGATTTGCATGTCCACAGGAATGACAAGTCCATACAGTAGGAAAAAGTGGAATATGACGTGCTGGTGGAAAATTATGTTTAAAAGATTCAACATCTTTTTGTTTACACCGTCTACAACTTTTCCTACCAATGAAATTATATGTTCGGCAACCACAACACATCCATTCAATACTTCCTTCTTGCTCCATCTCATTCTCCGCTTTACCCATCTTTGTATGCTGGACACGACGCACATGTGAGTATTTAGCGTAATAGTCATTCTCTCGTCTTGAATGTGTAACCGCAGTGCCACTACGTGGAATATTCACCGCATCATTCGCTGTAGGTATAGATCCCATCAACGTCTTATTGTTACTTATCCCTACTGCTTTCTCTTCTTCTTCCTCTTGTTCTTCTTCTGCTGATGATACTGTAGTTTCATTTATTGCAGACGAGACCTGAGAAGACGTTATGGGTTTCCCATCTCCCGCTCTTGACGGGGATACGGCGGTAAACATGGGCGTATTCTGCACGAGTAGTCGTGCGAGGTGTTCCTCATCCACCATCTCCTCATCTGTGAAGGCCACGGCATGTGAAGAGTGTGTGGATCGGGCAGAAGTGGAGGATGTGCACCACAACGGCAGGGATGTGGACAAGGAACGCACAACATCCCCAGATGTGGTAGACACCACCAAAGGGAGAAGTAGCCGGCGCATAGAATTCCACCCACCCTACGGCTTTTATAGAAAAAAATATGAGAAGAAAACAAATGAAAAAAAAACAACAATTAAAAAATAAAAAAGGAAGATGTATTCAATGGAGCAGAATATATGACGAGTAATTGTTAATTTTTTAAAAATAAAAAAAAAAAAATAATAATAGGTTAACAACACATGCACAAGGCATACGAAAGAGAGAGAGAGAGAAAATGGGAAAAAAACGTCTGGATTTTGAGAAATTGAAATTCTCCAGTCTTCACTCTCTATTTCTATCTCTCTCTCTCCCAGATTTATATGCATATGTATATATATGTGTAAACAGAATGTGAATCATTTATCTGTTATCCAAACAATGGGATCTTCATTACCAAAATAAAAAACCCATTATTTCTAAATTTTGACCGGTTTACGTACAAACGCACGTCTTGGGGCCACTGCCACAGTTTTTGTAGCCCCACACTTGTGACACTCCTGTCGATTTTTAAAGTTCTTTGAAAAACATTTTCCACAGGTCCAATCATCACTCTTCTTATTCCACACATTCATTTGTCCTTCTGCTACTGAGCTACCATCCACATCTTGCTGAAATCCCTCCCGCTCAAACTGTGGTGTAGACTCATCATTAGACCATGATGTTGCCCCAGACTCTGCGGAAGCACGACCACATTGCCAACAACTCGTACGTGTACGAAAGTTACTCGCTTGACAATATCGACAGAACCAATTATTATGACTAAGCGCAGGATCTGGAACAGCCTCTGTATTTACACTAGAAACAGATTCTTCACTTGTAGACTTTGGAGCTCCACATTGATAACATGCAGTTCGTGATGCAAAGTTCAATCCTTGACATTCTGGACAATTCCAATCTTCTCTACGCATTGTACGCCTTCTACCACCACCAGTTGTAGTGGAATTCGCTTTCCATGTTTGCTGAACATCACGGGCTTCTTTCGGTTCTGTTGGTGGACGTGGTATTCCACATTCTCGACAGGTACGATCATAAATACTGGTCGCTGCCCTACAACTGGAGCAAACCCACGATACAGAAATAGGCACTTGACAGTTAAAACACCTTGAACGAGTTAAATGATTCACCGCACCGCAATGACAGCATTCCCATTCACTAGGTGTAATATGTGTACCACACTTGCTACAATTCTCTTCATCTCCAGCATTAATAGTTCCACAATTGCTTTCACGGCACATCCAATCAAATCCTGGTGGTCCTTGTGGTATTCCTGTAGGAAGAGGAACAGGTCGTCGTGATTTTCTGTATAAACGTGAGTGAGCTGTTTCTAATGGAGCTGGTGTAAATGGTTTTACTTCAGGAATATTGCGTGGTAACGATGACAACGATGGTGAATGTGAAGGATTAGCATTAACATTAACATTAGAAGCAGGAATAGTAGTAGAAGTAAGTGGCCCTTTAATGGCATCTGGCAACATGGAAGCACCAGCTGTTTCATCACCAAATTGATCATCAGATTCTTTAGCAGAAAGATTATCAAATTGTTCTTGTGCTTCACGAAGTCGTTGAGAACGTTCATATTGAATACGAAGTGCTTCCGCTTCTGTCATTGACATAGGGGCCATATCATAACCACAAAATCCACAACGACTATTATCATCTATTTCGTCAATACGATTATTTTTTTCGCATGCAATACACATCCAGAAATCTTCACTCATATCTGCAGAAGTTCCACACTTGTGACATTTTTTAACTCCCTTATGATTTCGTGTTTCACACTCTGTACACAACCATCCCTTAAGAATAGGTTTTTCAGTATTACACGTCTCACAATGTGTAGCCCCTGAGGCATTGACGTGTCGACAATCTTCTTTAATACACATCCACAAACGATTCGCTCGTTGTGCCCATGATTGAAGAAGTACTGGAGTTTGTGTAGTGAATCGGATACAACTTACCCGATGAGAGACACTACACATACCATCTCTACTGCCATGTGCATGAAGTGAGAGAGAAGAACCATTATTATTACAGAGATGGTTCCCTCGAATAATACCCGCAATAACTGCAGGTTTACTACTCCCGTAACGCTTCATATATATATATTTTTCTTTTCTTTTTTTTTACTTTTTATTCTTCTTCTTCTTCCATTTATATGAAAAGTATTATTGCACAGAGGTAAGAAAAAAAAAAAAGAAAAAGAAAAAACAAAACAAGGAGATAAATTTCACTCACAAGAAAACTCTACCAGATTACTAAAAATAAGATATCATGCCATTTTTCTTTCTTTCCTTCTCACTTTCACGCCTTTTTAAATAATGGCTATCTCAGAAATTAATATCAAGTTAACACTTATCAGAGAGAGAGAAAGAGAAAAAAATGATAAAAAAAAACAAACAACCAAATGTGTGATAATATGATGAGTATTCCTACAAGGTTTAAGGGGTTATGAAAAGAAACGTAGCATAGTCTTCCCATGGACCTTATTTCTCCCATTTGCTTTCTTTTCTTTTTTTTTTTTTTTCCTTTAGTTAAATTTCTTTTTTTTTTTACTAATTTCTTTTTCCTTTCCTGCATTTATGCAAATGCATTGCCTCATTCTTTCTACTCCCACCATGGCAGAAAACTGATTAGCTATAAACACACACAGAGAATGCCATGGACCCCCTTTAGACCCACATACACACAAGCATAGGCCTTTTTTTTTTTTCTTCATCCCTCATTTTTTTTTTTCTCTCACGCACAAACAAAAAAAAAAGTAACACAGAGAAATAGAGGCACAGAGAAAGATCCGAAAATAAGCACAATCGTTTCTCGTCCTGTTATCTTCATTTTTCTTTTTTTTTACCTTCATCTTGCTATTTGCTCTGTTTAAATCTTATTCCAGGCGACGATGTCCATAGACTGCACCTCGTTCTCAAATGACATGATAAGATCCTCGAGGTCATCACCAGAAACCTTGTCGTCCTCAATGACAATCAGCTGCTGAAGCTTCTTCAGGCCAAACGCCACTGGAACAAGTTTGTGGTCACCCCAAAGAAGACCGTCGCGCTTCACAGCATGTAACTTCTGGGCGAGTGCTTCCAGATCGACTGTATCATCCCATGGCTTCACGTCGAAGAGAATAGAAGACTTGGCAATGACCACCTTCTTGGCCTTCTTGGCATCAGCGTCCTTCTTCTTCTTTGCCTCGAGTGCGGCCTTTTCCTCCTCTGTGACCTCACCAAAGAGATCAATGTCTTCATCCTCTTCTGCAGCGGCGGCCTTCTTTGATGAGGACGCAGCGCCGGCGAGTTCGTCGCGCTCCGCTTGATAGTACGCGGCCATGCGGGCGGCCCACTCAATCACGGCGGTGCGGGAGCCGAACATCTCGGCGAAGATGCGCGCGTCCTCTTGGCTTGGGGTGAAGCCGGACACGTAAGGCTGGGCGGTGAGGCGGCCGTTGAGTTCCTTAAGAGTGGACATGATCACTTCTGTCGGGGGTTAGGTGATTAGGAGAGTTAGTAAGTTTGTATCTGAGATGAATAAAAAGATAGAGAGAGAGAGAATAAGTATAAAAAAAGAAGAAAGAGATATAAAGGGGGAAAAAAAGAAACAATACACATTAAAAGGTAATGGGAGCTCACCTCAGTCTTCAAGAAAGTGGACGGAAAAAAAGAAGTTAAGCGACCAAACAGTACAACAAAATACCAAATCATTATGTATAGAAAAACTTTTTTATTGGTCTTTAGGGAATAATGCTGTGCACAGCATAGAGAATAACAAAAGGTGGAGAAACAGATAAATAGAATCAAAGAGAATAGGTTCCACCTCATCAACACCAATAACTATACTTCTTCTTCTTCACGAGCAGCCAAAAGGCTTAATGCATCACGTATTATCATCGTCATATCATTAAAAGAAACTTTAATATCACATTCCTTACATGAACGTACACCAAAACTTGTTTTTGGTAGAGTTTCATTTTTCAGTGGTGGCATGAACTTTGATGCCCGGTCTTCCCAACGTACACTACAACATTTGGGAGGCCAAACCTTTGGACTCTCGTAGGGAATGTAATGAAGACCTAAAAGAATTGCCAATTCTTCATACATGGCATAACGAAAACCATGTGGAAATAATTCTACAACAACACTTCCTGGAGTCATAGCCATAATATTCACAACTCCAGCACCATGAGCTGCTATAAAAATAGAACTATTATGCATAAGGGATGCTTGACGATAGTAAGACATTGAAGAAAAAGTTTCCATATTTACTGTTGCCTCACATGATGCTAAGGTAGCATTAAGTAAATTATACCATTTACTCTCATCAAAATGTCTTTCACCAGGGCGTCGAAGCAGCAATAAAGAGGTTTCCTTTGGACGAGGTGGAATTTCATAATACTGCAAAAGACATTCCCTAAAAAGATTTGCCTGAGCACGAGTACGAAACCAACGAAAACGTTCCCATCGAACAATGATTCGAAGTCCACTATTTATCTCCAAATTCCCAGCAGAAGTACCAAGAATAGAAATATTATTAACATTTAAAGGTACTTGATCCCCACGAGGACAGAAAAAACCTTTCTCTTGCATTGCTTCCTTGTAAAAAATTTCTTCAGCAAGTATTTTTACATTACCAGTGGGTAAACGTGAAGTAACAAAATCAATACCCCATGAAGACATTAATTTCATAAAAGGTGAATCACTACGAAGCAAGGCTTGAAACCATCCCAAGACTACTGTTCTAAAAGACCTATCTAACTTTGGCACCGGATAAGATGCACAAACATTACCATAGAGAATTTTCAGTTGAACACGAAGACGTGTTGAATTCTTTCTACAGAGAAGTGAACATGGGGCAAAGTAATCAATAAGAAACGTCATTAAATGAGGTGCATCCTTTGTACTATGTCCCATACGACAAATATCTGAGACTAGATAATACATTGTCAGAGTTTTATTTTGCTGTAGAAAATACTGACACGATGGAAATAACTTTGGTGACGGTGTAGTTCGTTGTGGGGACACAACAACAAATCGATCACGGTGTCGCTGAAAACATCCTTCATACGTACGGACGGTCCCAATAGCGCCAGGGAGAACGTTGGGGTTGTCGAGATCAACCGCCTGCGAATATGAGGCCGCGCAGTTTGGTTGTAAAGATCCCACCGTCGTCCATCCAGCCACAGTAGAAAGAACAGAAAAAAGAAAAAAGGAAAAAGAAAAAAGGAGAATTACATGAGAACGGAGACGGTGGTGCATATTTGATTCTCTTCCATATCACAGAAATCCTCTTTCTGTTGTTGTGCTTCGGCTTCTCTTTCCGGATCTGAATATCCTACTGTGATTGTGCTTCTAGTGAAATGTATGTACTGATAAAAAAGATTGCGTGTAGATAGAATGAAAAAACAGAAAAGCAGCAGTAAACCGCTATTACTCCACACAAACACACACATATAGAGTCAAGCAATAATGTAAAGAAATTAGACATATTAGGGAAAATAACCATTATTCAAAGAAAATGAAGAATCATCCAACCCCCAAGAAAACAGAAAAGATTATATACGAATTGAATATCATTTGGTAACATTGAAGAGATAGCCACACACACAAAAAAAATAATAATAACGGATAATGCATAAATCTCTCTTCATGTGTTGGTTTCTCCCTGTCCAATTTATAATTTGCAGTGTCCCTATAGGAACAAACAAATTATATGTTACCCCATTCTCACAAAATGTGAAAGCAAACAAAAAAGAAAAGAGATATCATTTACCAGAAACACACAATTGCAGAGTGATACACAGCACAAGGTGCACAGCGATGCTCTGCTTAAAAGTATAAAAAAGAAAAGAGATTAGGTATTTCCACACAAATTGATGCACCCTAGCCCACTGGGTGTCGTCAGCAATAATTTTCTCGGTGTTCAGTATACTGAATACAGTAGCAATTATATTATTATTAACCGTAAACAAGTAATTACCAACACTCTTTAGATGGACCCCAGCACAGTGCTCAGCACACGGCCATGCAGCCCAGCACAGAGAGCAGCAGCAGCAGGAGTGGAACACGCAGTAACGCAGGGCTGCTGCTGCCGTCATTTTGTGTGATGCCATTCGTTATTGTAGCATTCGTGGGTAAAGGAATGGCAGACGTTTCACGAACATCAGGAGCATCAGAAGAATGAGAAGAGGAAGAAGAAGACTGAGCTTCTTGTGTTTGCTCCGTCTTATTTCCTTCTGTATGGCCTTGCTGCTCACCAAGAGATGTTTCATTTGTCTGTTGCTGTGCCTGAGTCTCCACCTGTTTTTCTTCCTTCTTCTTTTCAGCTGCAGCAACTGCGTCGTCGAGTTTCCTCAGGACACTCTCCACATTATTGGCATGAACATTCGCAACGTCGATAGCATCGTTAGCATTAGTTATAGCGTCTTGTGCAGCGTCAGCTGCTTTCATTGCCGCCGCAATTTCTGGTTGTTGATCAGTAACTCCTGCCAGCATTTTAGCAAAAAAAGCTTTTGATTCAGTATCATCTTTACTGGTTATAGTTTCGTCGCGCACTTTTTTTGCTTTCTCTGCAGCCTTCTTTGCGTTTTCAATAAATTTAAGACCTTCAATCTTCGTTTTCTCCACCTCTTTTGGGTCAGCAGCAATTTTTTCGAGATTAGCCTTGGTTTCCTCAGCAAATAGTTGAGCTGCATGCGCGGCCGCTGTAGCTTCCTTGGTGGCTTCCTCGCACTCCGCCTTCAGTTTCAAAGTTTCCGTAGCCTTCTCTTGTGCTTCCTTAACAAATTCCAACTTGCCCCCTGAAGCAGGATCAGCATGAGTCACACCCACATAGCAGAGCACAATGGCCAACAGACACAACACACGGCACGACAACATGGACATTCTTGTTGTTACTATAACTGAGGATCACTGCAATCTGAGCATGTGTGTAAAGAGAGAGAGAGAAAAACAGAAAAGAACCAGTACACCGCTATTACTACACACACACACATATGGAGTCAAGCAAGAATGTAAATGAAATTAGACATATTAGGGAAAATACCCATTATTCAAACAAAATGAAGTTCCATCCAATCCCAAATAAAAAAAAAAAGATTATAAACGAATTGAATATCATTTGGTAACATTGCAGAGATAGCCACACACACACAAAGAAATAATAATAACGGATAATGCAAAAATCTCTATGTGTTGGTTTCTCCCTGTCCCCATTACAATTTGCAGTGTCCCCATAGGAACAAACAAACAAACAAACTGTAACGTTACCTCATTCGGATATAATGCAAAAGCATATAAAAAAGAAAAGAGATATCATTTACCAGAAACACACAATTGCAGAGTGAGACACAGCACAAGGAGCACAGCAATACTCTGCTTACAAGTACAAAAAAGAAAAGAGATTAGGTATTTCCACACAAATTGATGTACCCTGGCCCAGTGGGTGTCATCGGAATTAATTTTCTCGGTGCCCAGTGTACTGAACACAGTAGCAATTATATTATTATTATTAACAGTAAACAAGTGATTACC